ATGCGAATATGTCCTATCCATGATGGACCATCTAACCCGATTCACCGTGTTGACTCCGATTCCGAATAAATCAGCTGTCACAGATGCTCAGGCTATCATTGACCGCATCATAGGCATTTTTGGACCGCCTGAGATGTTGCATTCTGATCAAGGGCCTGAATTTGAGAATAGTGTGATCCACCAGTTACAGAGTATTCTGAACTACAAGAAAACCCGCACAACACCATATCGTCCGCAAGGGAATTCTGTGTCGGAACGACTACATTCAACGATGCACGCAATGCTTGCCATGCATAGTTCAATGAAGCGTGATAACTGGGCATCGCTACTACCTTTCATACAACTGGCGCATAACACTTCTTTTAGTGCTACCATGCATGAAACTCCATTTTTCCTCATGTTTGGCAGACAACCACGACTACCTGTCGATATCATTCTCGGTATTCCTCATGTAGGAACAACAGCCAATACCGAAGAACTTGCGAAAGACACGCGGGAAAAATTACAAATTGCTTTCGAATTAGCGCGCCGAAACTTAACGGAACGTACAAAAAAGCAAGCGGCAAGTAATTCAAAACTGAGACCGATTCCCGTGTTTAAACCTGGCGATCAAGTACTGATTACAGACCATATCAGGATTCCGATGGCCCCAACCCGAAATTGCTGTTACCTTGGCGGGGACCATACGTCGTCTGCTCGCAACTATCACCCGTAGTATACCGAGTGAGACGCCCAAAAGAAACTCGAGAAGTTTCGGTTCACTTAGCCCATATTAAACGATATTTTGCGAGGAAAACACCTCCTGCGCCCGACATTGATAAACTCGCTGAGTTCTTTTTAGGGCGACAGATTCCGTTACCCGCTATCGATCACCCTGATGAGGCCCAACCAAGAGTTGCATATTATGTTGTAGACAAAGTGGTAAGCCACAAAAGTGGTCGGGGTCCGAGGACTCCTTTTAATTAACGATACCGTTTGCGTCTTCGAGGGTATGGCCCGGAGTCAGACCCCGAATACCGTGCAGATGAGGTACCACAATGTCAAGAAATGATAGCTGCATACCGAATCCGTTGTGGTTTGGATATTGCGCTTCCTAAAACAACTTCGGTTCGCACCCTCAACAAGCAGGGGGACGAAGCATCACCCTGCCGAACTAGGAAGCGAAGACGTACCGAGACAAGGAATTGAGCAACAGTGCCAGATATAGAGCGCTCACAATTTTATCTGCTGTTGCTCTGCAGCTCAAATTTGTTTAATTTTTATGTTAATTTTTTTTTTTTAACGACATGGGGACGAGTTAAAACTACAGTCGTGGGCCCGGTTTAGCGGTTCCCTGTTTAGCGGGATGCCCTGAATAGCGGTTATAAAATCTCGTGACACGGCTACACCTCGGTTTAGCGGTTAAGGTAACCGCTAAACCGGTTGTGCCCTCAATAGCGGTGACTGGACATATTTTCAGCCACCAATAGCGGTTATCGATTCAAATTTTGCAGAGACACATCGACATTGGTCAGCCGCTTGGCGTGGTCGATGCTCGTAATAAAAGCACACAGCAACAAACACACACACACCATGCGGTGCGCGGATGGAGAACTGTAGCTTTCAGATGCGGCACTGAGTCCAAGCGGCGGGCACGATTGTAAAGGTGACTGTGGTGGCCGCATGCACGGCATGTTCGAAGAAATAAATAAATGGAGGATCCTGATGGCAACGAGATGCACCGCATTCGTCAATAGTGTGCAACCAAGAAGGCCCAGAGTCCCCCTCCCGTCTCAAATCCACCCAACCAAGCGCAAAGAGGCGGAAAATGGCTTTCTAGCACCTGGCGCGGAGAAAACACTCGCACTGCAGCTACACGACAGCCCCGCACGCGGCCCAACTTCGGCCAGAAGCCTGAGGTTTTGAATATTCTTGACCAGAAGGTAGCGCACTCAGAAATAACGCGCAGGAAGAGATCGAAGCTTTGCCGAAGGATCGAATAACAAGGCTACTCCCACCTATTCTGCTCCGCTGGTCGAAAGGTGCCTACTTTCTTGAATTTTTATTACGCGTTTCGTTGAGAAGTTCTCCAGTATGTACACGGAGGGGCCTAACCCCTCCGACGACGAGTTAGAGCTAGAGCTAGAGCGAGATTGCACCGCAGAAGTTGACAGTGCGAAGGGCAGGGGGGTGATGGCGCAGCCGCCATACTCGGAGCTATCGGCGGATTTTGGCCAGCTTGAAGAGTGCGCTGAGTTGTGTGGCATGGGCGAGGCAGCACACTATCTTCGCAAGGCAAAAATGGCGTTCCTCGCAGCGAATATCAGAGAGATGTTGGGTTAAGCATGATGGAAACACGCGAAAAGTAGAACAAATGAGCTGCTCAAGCACGTGGTTAGTTGCCATTGCGTTGTCACGAACTTGCCCCACGTTCGTTAGAGACGGGGGCGATTTTCCAGTCTTAATGAATGGCATACAGTCCATCAGGGAAAACATGCTTTGCGCTTTCGTGAATTGAAATGCACTAATGTGCTTGCTGTGTTGTCATCCTAAGGGTCGATACTTCTTCATCTGCACCGCTATAGAAGTTGAGCGGCGATGCCCTGAATCGCGGTTATAATTTTTCGTGACACTATGGACCGCTATACCGGGCCCACGACTGTATCTTTTCCATGTCCTTGTGACATGGAGATAGTAATGATACGTTAACACTATATTTTTCCATATCCTTGTGACATGGAGATAGTAATGAAACGTTAACACTATCTTTTTCCATATCCTTGTGACATGGAGATAGTAATGACACGTTAGAGCTATCTTTTTCCATACCCTCGGGACATGGAGATAGTGATGGTGAAAGGGGTTTTTGTACATTTTTTGGTACACCCTTTTTTATTTTTTTCAAAGCTTGGGAAAAACACTGGCGAGGAGAGAGTCTTATGACTTATTGTTGCTGTCAGCTTTGTTCAAGAAACCAACGGAAACCACGCGACGTGTGGATACGTTTTACGGTTTCAACAAGCGAACGACAGATCGATTTCACCGGCACCCCATTTACGTTGTGTCCACTCCTTGGTTCTCGGTTATGTCTTGAGTGAGTTTTCGACGAAGATCCATTCAAGTAAAAGACGGAATCAAGATATTAACACTGTTGGCCACGCGACCAATTTTCCGTGATTGTTTGTCATTTTGCGACAACATCCTGTTTTTGCGCTATCATCCAGCAAGCGCCTGATCCACGCGTGCGATGAGGAACAGTGCATGAGTAAAATGAGCTACCAGTTTCCGTGACACATCGGTTAACTGTTTTGTAGTCAAATAGTTTTTTTTCCCAGGCATGGTATATTAAGCTATCAGTTTCAAACTGTTTTGTAACTGAAACCATGTTTGCTATTTAACTGCGTGAACACAATCTGGGTATGGCCACCCTAGAATATATCTGAATCTGAACGGAAGAAATTCTCTTCTGTCAGAATCATGCAGGAGATAAAGCATCTTTAATTTTTAGTTTGATTTCTGTACTTTTGCTATGGACCACATCTTCAACTGAGCTTGACGAACTCGTGTTTTCTCAACACGGAAAATCTGACTCAGACACGGTTGAAGATGTTGCAACACAGTATGACAATACTTCCAACACCTGTTTCCATGTATATCGTCCAAGGCCTCTAGAAACGCCAAAATACATCCTTAGCAAAGATGAATTTGTGGCGCATAAGGGGGGGGTGATGTGGATGACAGGTGTAGAAGTGCTGTAACCATTGTTGTTGCACATACAAAAGTAGGACCAAGATACGATCCGAACGGAGGATCTTACTGATGGTTGATCAGCAAGAGACCCGACTGTGGATGCGTCCCTCTTGGCGCCACCTGTGGAACTTGGGAATCCGAGACCCTCGGGCTTGGTCTCCCTCGCCCCTTCGGCGGCGCACTCTCTCTTGTCTCTCTCTTCTGAGACCCTCTCCTCTCTAAATCTCAACGAAGAGAACTGCCAGCCCTTAGTAGTGGGAACAGACTACTGCGACCTGGGCCTCCCCCCAACGAGGGAAGCCTGTGTCCTCAGTTGACTGATTTTGAAAAAAAAAGTTAAGAGCACCAGAAAAACGCACATGAGACACACAAGACCAGGCGGAAGGTTCGGGAAAAACAGAAATCGTTCATTCTCACACAGGGCGGTAGTAGAGGCTGCTCAAAACCTACATTTCACGCCTCTACCTGCATACGCCGCCTTTGAAATCAAAATAAAATTTACACCAGTCTAAATTCAAGTCAATGACCCAGAACGGCAGGCGCTCAAAAAAGGGTAGTATTTTGCATTAGACCTTATACATTCTACTGTTATCACCAGAGGACACCCTTTACCAGCGGTGTGTGTTGGCGTGCTCAAATTGCTTCTTGGGCGGTGATGTCGAGGGTCGTAGTAACGGCCTACAATCTCCGATTAGACCAAATTTGACGGACGCCCGTGTCTTGTATTGCTTGTGCTCGCCGCCACTGACCCCAATCTCCTGAATTGCGTGTTTACTGCAGTAGTTGATACCACTAGCTACTGCTGACAACCCTCCGTTCAGGGGTTTACGGTCCGTGGCGATGAGCATGGCTGTGACAAATGTTGGGTTCCGGCGCAGATTACGGAGTGTTTTCAGAGACTGCTGCGACCTTCGATATTTCAGCTCAAGTAGCAACCCTGAACGTGCCAGCACACAGGACGCCTCTTCATGGTGTCCTCTACTGATAACAGTAGGATATGGACCATCTAAATGGCGGGAAGGTTGTTCTCTTCCTATATATTGGATTTTAAGTATTGAATATAGAGCCAACGTCAAAATTGCTTGTCTCCAACCCTTTAAATGTTAAAACATTTTCTTTTTAAACTCGCAGACATTCCTCCACGGCCGCCAACACCTCCAACCCCGTCCTTGTTGCGGTCGCTAGAGGCGCCTGAGGTTAACGACCTTTGCGAAATTTGCGGCTTCGACACGGAACCCGACAACCTCATCGTGTACTGCGAGTCATGCAACATGGGTGTTCACCAGACTTGCTACGGCATCTCTGAGGTAGGTTACGAAACACCCGGCAGGCCGCATTGTGCTGTAGGTGCGCGCAACCATTCGTTGTTTACGTTGGTCATTTTTTGGCTGTTGATCCCTTTCTGCTCGTAAGAAGAGGCGCCACTCACACACTCGAGAAGTGTTACCAAGACTCCACGCCCTTGACCTCTCCGGCATGCTCTAACCTTGATACGGTCACCGCAAATAATAAATAGTTTGGACGCGAACGTGGGGAAGGTGTTACATTGCTAGTTTTTGTGATGCTGGTTGCAGTATCGATTTCGTCCCGCTATTCAGGCACGATATCAATTTGCGTTGTGTATTGCCATTCAGTTCCAAGTTTGTACTGCACCAGCCTTTCTCGAGCAACCCATCCCTGTTGACAAGAGGTAGTTCGCGATGATTCATCAACCCTCCCTTGCTCTTTGTGTCTTACCGTGAACGTTTTTGCAACCAGATTCCGACCAAGGAATGGTACTGTAGCCCGTGCTCAGCTGGTGTTCACCCGTCTACCTTGGTGAGTGTTGTGACGGGCATTGTGTGTTGTGTAATGGTATGTTGACTTGCTTGAGCTATGTGCGTGTTGCTTAGGTCTCTTGGCAGGATAAACGTCGTGCAAGAACAATCGTCGTGCAAGCAGACGGCCTCATGCTCGCTTGATTGTGCTCTCATTATCTGAAGCACCTGGCGAACAGGATGTTCGCCGCCCGTTCGCCGGTTAGTTCTAAATAGGCGTTGGTCGGCCATTTCTAGGCGGGTACAGCCTTCACTACAACCGTTTGACGGCCATTTCTGGGTTGGATGTAGTGAGTGTTCTTCTGCACTCCCCTGATGTTGTGAACCCGCTCTCCTTCTCTCCGCCATCCGGTGGCAGGCGTGTCGTTTCTGCCCCAATCGAGGGGGCGCGCTCAAGCGTTGCACGGACGGGAGTTGGGGCCACATTCTTTGCGCCTTCTGGATCCCGGAGTGTTGCTTCTTAGATCCACGTGAGCAACAAGTTGTTCCAGAGGCGCATGAGACCGTATACTAAGGCCACACCCGGTTTCTCACAAAGAAAGAAGCGTTATTGTACAATACCATGGTATACAAGTAGGAAGGGAAAGGCTTTTCGCAAACAAAACAAAACAACTTGAAAGTGGAGTGAAGTAGAGTGAGGGATGTGCACAAAAGCAGCTTTACATAGGGGGACGTTCAAATCGAGAGACAGTGTCTGTTTGACAATGTTTTGGGTTGTAGTCTGGATCGAATAATCAAGTTGTGTCCAATCTCAAAACTCTACATGTGTTTGGCGTAGGAGAACGCCTGGCTTAGTTCGCGTTCGACCCGTTTCTTCATTTGGGAAACGCGCGTGGAGAACGGCGGCGACGCGTCAACGTACCCACAAGACCGGCAGTCTGGTCTAACTTCGGGCTGCTGCATGCATCTACATACAGTTCACAACAAAACCTCTGCAATCGTTGCCTGCTGCTGTTGTCAAGACATGTGACGCCACTCAAACACCACATCGGAAGGCTGCGGTACTTTCGAGCAGTCTTAGTATATATGGACCGGTTGAAACAAATTGAAGTTGAACGGCTCCTGAACATCCTAAGGTCATTTTTGTGTGTTTTCGATCCCCATGTATCCGCCTGTATCTCGCCATGTGCCTTCAATTCTCTCGCATCCAGAAAAAATGGAGCCGATCGGAAGCATCAACAGACGGGGGCAGGCCGGCGGGGTAGAAAAATTCCTGCCAAGCTTTCGCTCTAGAAAATGCCACGTTTGTGGGACTAGCGGCGGATCGGCCATCCGTTGCCACAGCGCTTCGTGTAAGTTCCATCTCCATCCCATGTGCGGGAGCAAGGCCGGGAGCGTCTACATGGAAATCGAGACCACGATGAAAAGAGGTGTCGACGGCACAGAACATGAGAGCGTGAACCTCGTAGCAAAGTGTCCCAGGTGAGAACGCTCACGACCAAATTATGTTGTTACGTCTGTCACCGCGGTTTTCTACGCGTCGAGTACTCTGTAGGAGCAGTAAGAGTTGTGAATTTATTTGGGGATTGTGATACGGTGGGGGAGCACATCGCGTGCGCTCGAGCTTGTTCCATCAACCGAACCGACATCCACAGCCGACATCCCCAAGGGTAACTTCCTGTTACGCTCAGAATTGACGTTGTTCCTGCGGCCTCCAACGCAAGCTTGTACGTGGCCAATTTCCTTATTTTTCCACTGCGCTATGGTACTCGTTAGCCCGCTGCAAATGCCCTCGCTTGTCCCTTGATGAGAGGTATCTCACATTGGTAATTTGTGTGCTGTTCGTCTGATAGGCACAACAAGAGCAAGGTTTACGGCAGAGCTGGCAAGGGCCGTTCCGCGGTCGCCTCGGCTGCCGACCCCTTGTCGGTGATGGGTAAGACAATCGAGATCACAGACCCGGAGCGGGATGGGGCTGTCGCGCTGGTGGGGAAAGTGACGTGGTTCGACCCCAATCGGTCGAGATACTGCATCGTCACGTCTCGTCGAGTCGGTGGTGACGGCGATAGCTGCGACAGTGGAGAACCGAAGGAAAGCCGTACACACTGGATTGCGGCGAAGAAGCTAATCGAAGCCAAGGCCGTGGGCCTCCACAAGAACGGGAAAACTTTCGCGTTAGAACCGTTGCCTTCGTGGGAAGAACATAGAACGGAGACGGACACGGACAGTGGGGGCCAAGACAGTGATGTGAAAGTGGAACAGGAGGAACATGAGAAAGTAGCACAAGATAGCAGCGGGCTGACGGCGGAGGAGCAAGGCGAGAAAAAGGAGGCCAACAGCAAGGATGCTGCACACTTGGACAAGACGAAACCAGAAATGGAACATGGGGGAACAACCACGGTCGGGAAGCGCCGAAGGACGGACCCAACAGATTCATCGATACCATCAGATGAGTCTCCGGCCAAACGCACGGCCCGCGTCGGAGTGCAGTCGCGGCAAGCACGGGCGTCCCTAGGGCTAGACTCGCACAACCTGCAGCCCGAAGCGGAATCCTCACTCTCGCCGTGCTTACAAGGTGAAGGGTCGCAGTCTTCCGCGGTGTCGGGGGTTGGGCCAACGTCCGAAACCGGGGACGCAGGGTCTTGTGCCGAAATGGAGGGAAGGAGGATGGCTGCACGCCATCCAATTCAGGAGCCAAGTCGGCTGTTACCCTCTGTCCATCTTGCAGAACAACCCGACCCGTTCTCCAGGTACCCGATACGCGGTAGACTGAGGCGCCCAACAACCCCTGTCCCCGACCCCAAAGAGCCACAAGCGCTGGAGGACGTTCCCCGGACCAAGAGGCAACGGCGAGGGGAGGATCCAGGGCACAGAGTTGCCGTTGCAGCGGACGCCGGTTCAGGTCCTTCGTCCAGCATGGGGCTGACGTGGCCCGGAGATGCCGTTGTCGCCGGCGCTTGCAATGAACCAGCCCCGGAAAATAGCGACGGTGCGCAATCCCGCTTTATTCCGCAAGCACGACCCTCCATTGAAGTACGGACGGTGAGTGCAGCGGAAGCCGAGCAGTGTGAAGGTGGCTCAGCTTATGTCCTTGAGCCCGGCTGGCCGCACGGGATGCAATTGCTCGCGCACGTTCCTGTAATGCGCGTTCGGACCGTTCTTGTGCCTGGTGGCGGGGAGGCAACGTATTATGCCAGCGCCTATGCCAGCGCAGAGAGCGTCATCGGTAACATGCGATCTGCACCTAGGTCCACGTTCCGGTTCGAAGAGTTAGGAGAACTGAGTTTGACCGATCGCGTCAAAGAGAGACCGGCGCAACGGGGCACCATGGCCGACTTCCTTGACGATCACCCGGAACGATCTTGCCAGCCTGACGGAACACGCGAGGCGCGGGAATGTGAAAGCAGCGCACAGGGTGACTCGGGCAACTTCTCCCCTTCGCGGATAGCAAGACCGGGTGAATTGCAGACCCAACAAGCAAAGGAACGCGAAGAAGAGCCACCGGTAGACGAGGCAAGCAGTGTATCAGCCGATGATGACGAGGAGGAGGAGGAGGAGGACGGAGAAATCACTTCCCTGTTCGATGTACGAGCAGGCGTCATGCCCCCTAGCCCCGGCAGTGGCAAAACCATCGATGATGGCGGTGTGGAAATGGCACCGGGTATAGGCGGCCTAGTGGCGGAGGAGGAGACGGGGAGACAAGGCTTGCTCGCTCATGATGTGCACCACAGCAGCCAATCGAACACGAGTGATGACAGCAATAACGCTACCAAAGCAACAGACGTGGAAGAGATGGAAGTTTCGAGCGATGGTGGATCGTACTGCGGCTTTGAAATAGCGGAGGCTGCGTCGCCATGTATCTCCGACGACGAAGACGACGTACGTTGGGGAAGGTCTGATGATCGTGGAGACGCTAACGGGACCACGAGTGCGCTTCCTCCGTCGTCTTCGAGCCAAGTGGGCACTGCTGCCAACCTGCAGGAAAGGCTGTCAGAACTGGCTGATTGTGTGGAGGATTCGAAATCTGCTGCCGATACTGTCTCGAAAGACACAAATCCTGCTGATGATCCGTCTATCGGTTCCGCGGCAACGGTCGAGCAGGCGCTACCTGACACTTGTGAAGACGGTAACACGTCGAGGCATCGACAAGAGGGCTCTACGGTGGAAAAGGAGCCGGAGATAACTCTAAAGCCACCGCCCGCGCCGCAGCAGACGGGCGTGACCTTGGCCCTCCGTGCCATCGTTCGAGAGCAGCTCCAGGGCGTCCTGCGATCGGCCAGCAAGGGTGAGGAGGCGGCGCTTGCGAACGGAAACGGAAATGAGGTGATCGAAGAAATTGCAACGGGTGCCGAGGAGGAGTTGTTCGGCCGCCTCTACAAGGACAGCACGGGCGGGCGGGAGTATAAGGTATTCAAGATTGTTGTTGCGCTTTGATTTGTGTTTTTAGTGATACCCGTGCCATCGAGAGCTAGGGGGCAGTCCATGTTTTGTGCTGTGCTCGCTGAACGAGGCGAGGCAGAGAGTGGATGGTACGCGGGTCAGCAAGGTTCTCGAAAACTGTGCTATTGCATAGGGTTGTGCATACGGAGCTCTTGGCAAGAAGGCTGGACCGAGCCCATGGTGTGGATGCTCATCTCGCCGTTTCTTCACCGACAGCTCATACCACACACTGCGGTACATGGGATCTGTTTCGCATGGAAGTTTGTGCGCGACCCGGTCCACCCTTGCCCTCATTAAAGTTTGCGGTGGATCCGTGATGCGAAAGCTGCTCACAGTTGTATCTGTCTTCTGTTTTCTTTTTTGCTCGCTGCTGGGCCCCAGGCCAAATACAAGCAGTTGCTGCTCTCGCTGGGGAACGTCCGGAACTACCGCCTGGTTGCATCGGTGCTCGCTGGCAATACAACTCCGGTTGATTTGGCCACGAAGGTACGTCTGATCATCAGCATCCAAACCACTCACTTTCAAACTTATCGCGTACAAAGCAGTCAAGTGCCTGCGTTCGTCGCTACTACAGAAGCATGATTTTCGCATCAAGCAGTCAGAATCGCACTGTTGATTAAATCTGACGAATGTTCAACCCATCACACCGTCTAGGCAGAACGTGCCCAGAACTTCGATATGAAGAGTTTTTCGAGAGATTTTCGTACGCGGTAGGTACAACGAATGCCCACCTGAAGCCGCGAAAGTACCCCTTGCCGATGAATGCTCTCAGCACTCAATTGCTTGACTTCCGCTGCCTTGCTAGTTTTTTTTCTATGTTACATCATTTGTTGCTCTTGACCTACTATGTCTCGCTTGCGTCTGCAGGGCGTTAATGTTCGGAAAATGTTTGGCCGTTCTCAGCAGTACCACGATTGATGAACTCATCTTCGGCGTCCTTTCGTTTCTTTTGGACGGCAATCACGCAGGATGCGGTGGGTCTTCTGAATTCACTCAGCTCCAGCCTCAACTGTCTTGCGATCCCTCTGGCCGGTCGGCACCGGCAGAACTTCCAACCTAGCTCTCCGGCCGGGAATGGCCGCAACGGGAGCGGTAAACGCCGCGGCAGGATGGTGTTGCTATAAATTCGTTTTGATAATCAAACGCGCGATGGGTTTCGTAGCCGTTGCCTGTCTGGGGCCAACAAGTACAGCAGGAAGTGGAGAAGAACCTGCGAGAAGTTGGAGTCGTCACGCATTGTAGATATGAGAGCACTGCCGACATGGATCCCGGCGAGATTTAAAACGAGTTTGCAATTCTGAAGAGAAGGCAACAGCCATGGGATCATCCAACCACCCAGAGAGTCGGAACTTTTCGAGTCCTACAACGCAATCTCCCTGAAGTATCTGTGGGAAACAGGATATAGGTATCTTCCCAGTGGTAGGGACGCACATACAACCGTATAGATCCGTGACCCTACGAACGACATTCTCGAGGTCTGAAGATCTTTACAACGAAAAGCCCCTCCGTCTGCTGTGACCAGCCGGAGGGCGGAAGCGTGCCTCTGAGGCTCACTCTCACCTTACAACCTAGCAAAGCCGACCAAAGTCAGCCACGCTTGGCAATTTCTCGCCACATTGCAACAAGAGCGAAGTTATCTCCGCTGGTGAACGGTTATTCACCACTTCAGGAGCCTTTACTCGTAACAGAGCAAGGGTATTCTCATATCATCGATACTAATAAATCCCATACAAGGCCGGGCCTTGTGCATTTTCCCGTATTCCCCAATTGCAAATTGGGGCTTCAGCCAATACGATCCCGAGAAAAGCAATAAAGAAATCTGTATCGGAAAACGTGATGAGAGGTCATCTTTCTTAGCTCTGGGGAGGGGCATGAGATCATCGATGGTGGCGGCGACAGGAATCAAACCCGACGACCACATCATCCGGTCAGCATGTGCATGTCAGTGTCACAACGATCTTTTCGCATGACAACAAGGGGGGCTCCCTGCTGTAGGTTTACATTGATGTACGCGAAGCTCTGGTCTTGCGGGTGGTGCTGGACGTGCAACGTGCTTGATAACACAGCAATATGCCTCCAACCAAAACCCGTGCCACAGGCGTTGTTTTCCGTGTTCGGTTCAAAGGTCCACACACTAAAGCCCGAGCGCGTGCCGACCGAGATACCGTAGAACACACCTAGCAACTCTGAAGGCCAGATACCGCTGAAAAAGGCAGAAGCACTTCCCCGCATCCTTTTGAGCACGAACTCGCAATCAATGCGGGATGAGGCTCCTCTCCCCGCACAGAAGACACTCGCACGATAAGAGGACGGTTCGTAAAGCGACCCAGGCATCCCATTCCGTCGACTGCAAAGTCTTCGAAGATACTACGAGTAGTGCACAAACCAAGGCATCACCAAGGAGAGAGAGAAATTTCATCGACGAATGGAATTCCAACAGCCGAACACGGCAAGATGATTAGACTCACGGCTGCTGCAGATCATGTCTTCCTTAGCTGACACAGCAATCGGACAAACAAGATACGTACACGTACGCTTGCTAACAACTTGCCCAGAACGCGCTCCACGAGCTCAGGGCGTACACGGCCGCGGTCTCAGCTCGCAGCACCGTCCGTCCCAGGGATACAAAACGCACGAAAGGATATTGGGCCAACGTGCCAATCTCGTCGGGATCAAAACCTCCCTCCGGCCCGATGAGGAAGGCCGCGTTTGCGTTTCTATTGTCATCGCTAGAGTTTACGTGGTCCTGCCTACGTTGCTCCGAAAAGGCCTGCTCGTACTCGGCAAGCGCCTCCAGGAGCGGTGGCGCATCCACGTCTCTCTCCTTACACACGAAGACAATATCTGGCAAACTTCGGTCGCCGTCTCGGTCTCTTGCTAATCCAACGATACTTGATCCGTCACAGCTGCTGTGACGAAGCTCAAGACTACGGAGATAAGAAGCGAGAGTCACCGGGCTTGCCATGGGAGGCACTGTCATGCGCTCGCATTGTTCGGCAGCCTCAACCGCTGTGACCGCCCCGAGTCTGTCGAGCATGCTCGCATCCGAAACTGCGCCCTTCTGTGTGCGAGCGGTCAACACAGGTGTCAGCCGTGAAGCACCAACCTCGACCGCCTTTTCCACCAGCATCTTAAGGCGTTGCTTTCGAATGGGCGCAAAAACGAGCTCTATTTCTGGCGCATCAAGGTCCTCCACCTCGCCGCCACCGCCGCCGCCAATTCCCGGCTGTCTTCGCGTGAGGCACTCAACCCGCAATTCTATAACTTTCTCTGCCCCGCCTGCCGACCGTTTCCCTCTACCCCTCCTACCACCGCGTCCGCTGCCAATCTTCTCGCCAGATCGCTCAAGGCGGCTGCTGCTGCTGCTGCTCGTAGCGACGGCCGCCAAGAACTCGCCGTTAACGCCGTCGAAAACGCGCACCGGGTTACCATCTCGCAGACGCATAACGCTTACGAGGTATCGCGTTTGCTCCGGTGTTAGCTGGACAGTCTGTCCCACGTGAAGGTTTGCACCGTTGAGATACACGCGGGGGGCGCGCGTCGGCGGCGAGGGCAATGGGACCAGAGCGGAGTCGACACCGGCTATTCTTGCTGGGACACCGAGAGGCGGCCAAGGGCGTCCATCTTCTATTTCTCGCACCCCAACGTCCTCTGTTCGCCTTCTCGTTGGCACGCCCGCCTGTGGTGATGGAGATGATGATGACGACGATGATGACGGTTCTCCTGCCGTATTCGCTGAATCTGCCGCACGGTTCTCCCCTGCTGCGCTTCTCAGTGTCTTTTCATACAGCGGAGAAGTGGGGCGTTCGGAGATTCAAAGAGGGAAGAGCGGTACCGCACATGAAAACATGTTGACAATAACCTTCAGGATAGGGCAAACAATCAGTGTATGCCACCTTGTGACGGCCCATGGCATTGTTGACCCAAACAGTTTTTTTGCCAAAACACCATGACCATACCTACTGCTCCATGACCAACCTACTCCACCGGGGCTATGAAAGCAGTAAAGCACGTGGCGATGTTGGAGAGAGGAGGGATTTGGATCAGGTTGCTTTAAGCCCTATAAGTCAGACGTTAACGATGCAGGCTGACGTAGGTATGTACCGCCCACCAGAATACCGTACAAAAGACATCACCAGACTGCAGCTGCAGGGGGTGCACCCAACAGTGACAATGGGGGTGGATGGAGGCAACACGATTTCACATCTCAACTTTTTCCATGTTATAGTATACCACAGTTTTCCTTCCTAGAGTCTACCAGTACAGATTTGATGTTCAGTCTTTAACTACGCGACATAAATTGTGCCTTTGATACCGCAGACAGGCCACGAGGCGGTTGTAGTTCGGAACACTCGCAATTAGTCTGCGTCCCCGTCCGTTTGTATGCGACTCGATGCTCGATCCTCACGACAACGCAATGAATGCATGTTTGTTTTGAAAAGGTCCTGGCAGTTAAGTTTCAGCCCAGCGAAGAGAACGAAGGAATGGTTACTCAATACTTGGAAGTTTGGAAGCGGCAACAGCAGTATCGTCGCTCGGCCTTAGATATGTGCCGGCGGGGTGAAGATACACTGAGAGTGTCGTGTGTCTGTCTCGCCGAAGAACCTCGTGACCTTGTTGGATGTTGTGACGCACATGTTCGGCGCGGGTGGGAGGGATCGGAGGTTATAGAAGAAACAAACGCTCAGACCCATCACCTGCACACCACGTCGGACCCTGATCCTCGTACCCCTGCTACTGCAGGTGCTGTGCCCTCGCGTTGCCACTGCTGCTAATAGCGGTCGAACCTTGGTCTGCCACCGCGGCGGCGCGATACAAGCGGCATCATCCTCTCGTACTCGCGGAGCCAACAGCAGCGCAAGGAGGAAGGGCCGGCAAACCATCCCCGAGAGGTTCTTGCACGCCCTGCGGCTTCCGAAGGGGGCAATCGAGAGAGGAGGACTGCGTCTAGCTAGGTGGTGGTGGGTGGCGCGCTTGCTTGTTGAGGCAACGCGGTGTGGCGGTGTGGGGCCGGGGTGACGCAGACTGCGAACTGAGGGTGTGCCAAAGGGAACGTGATTACTGACTCGTAGTGATCAGCGATAAACTGGCTCTTTTCTCCTGGTCACAGTGACGCGAATGGCCCGATGACAAGGACAGAAAGTGCACCCAGGCGGCACACGTCACGCCACCGACCACACCGAAACAAAACAATCGACTTCAACAACTCGCAAAGGCGTTCCACAGATCCTCTGCGGATAGGCGGACATCCAGGGTGGTGCTAGAGAGAGGCGAGGTGAGGTCGCGAATCTTGGTGGCTCTCGCGCAAACCCGTTCTAGGCACCAAAAAAAAAGGTGAGTCTGTCTTCGTGGCAGCGCACCAATACAAATAAGCCGAATTTTTTGTGAGACACATGGTACCATGGTACCATGGGGATCCGGTGGAGGCGAGGGATTGCCGGCGTGCTGGCCACAGCGATGCCGCCGTTGCTTTCAAGCGGCTGTAATCCTCCAGTGCTTCCCCCAGCAGAGAACCTGATCGCGTATATCTTTGACAGAAAACGCGCTCAAACATTGTGCTGTCACAGCAAGCAGCAAGGGCAGATGGTAGACGGTCCTTTCGTAGGCTGCGAATCTGCGAAGATGGTGTGCAACGTACAACAGCTACCACATCGTAACGACCACGTATTGTATTGTTTCGAAATCGGCGAGATTTCCTTGGCGAATTCTAGGGTGGCTCAATGGCCACCATACGATCGTACTGAAGCGACACGCTCAGTGTGCGGGTGTGCTCTGCAGGCTCTCATCCTGGACCTCATCCACGTTGCACGAGGCGCACTCTGTCAATTGAGGAACAAAAAAAACACACACAGAAAGACTCAATTGTTCCGTCTGCTGAACATCATGATGACATGATTTCCTTTCGAAATGTCGTCACGAACCCCGTGTGGTCTATCCTGCCGCCTCTTCCGCCAGGACAAAAAATCAGACACCGAAACAAAAGCCGAGAGCTCCTTCTTTATCCCCTGTCCAGCTGCAAGGACGCCTGATGTGCTTGCGTGTACTACGCCAATGCCCCGGGTGCGCCCTTTCCGTAGTACAGCAGTACAGACGCTCTCCCAGAGGGCATGCGCACGGTATCGGAAACTGCTATGCACATGGTGTATGTAGTCTATGTACAGGACGGTATTCTACCTGCCCAAAATGAAATAGAAACGTAATGAAGAGTTGTGCAACCAGGTGTAGGACATGTCCTCTGAACCCCCTACGGAGCCGGCTTTCTTTCATCTTCGGGTGTTTCCGCCGACAGATCACGCGCATCCTTTTATCAAGGTGCTTCACCTCAATATTGGCCTGCCTCTCGACTTCCGCGCACACCGTCCATCGTTGTACAAGTGTAGGCACACCGCCCATTGAGATGGCCTCTTTGCCTCACTATTAATTTACAGTAGCGGCTACGGTTTAACATAGGGTCGTGACAACCCCATATCCCTCTGTTAACCGGCACTTCTGTTAAACCGTTTTTGGTTATGCATACGATAAAACGAAAGGCCGTGAAACATGGACCCAGTCGTCCCAACGACAGCAAGCAATATGTGCCGTAAGAGTTGATGGAGAGCGTATAATTCATGTCACATGACGAAGGTAGCGTCCGCCCCTTGGGCTAGCTCCACACACCGCTTTATCTGTTGGTTGGCGAGCAATATGGACCAGTTGTACGCTCTTGGTAGAAGGTGTTGGGAACTAAATCACGCTCTTAGTAGAAAGTGTTGGGAAACAAATCACGCGTCAGACTTCTGCAGTTTTGTTGCCTTGTTATAGATGTGCTGCTGCTCGCCCACGGATGCTCCAGCATCCAAGAGAAAATCCACCCAACCACCGACTGGACGAACCACTCCTACCCCGCCCATTCCCTGCACCAACACGCAGCACCCACAACCCTAACCCCATCCATTTCAACCCACCCGAAAAAGCGCTTCACATTTCACTGCATTGAGAAAACATCGAGCGCGCTGCAAATCAACTGCCCGCTGCGCAGGGCATGGTGTGCTGTGTGTGTGTTTTTATTAATAGCATCGACCGCGCTAACCGGCTGACCAATGAAAAGACGTCAGTCTTAGTGCGGTTGAACACACAAAACACTTCTATCTGCCATGAATTGGGGCCCCGTGAGGGGGCAGCATGGGGGAGGCTAAACTGCCGTTCGGATCAAAGACAGAAACGATAGCAACAGAAGAAAACTGCACGCGTCTACCAAGGCCATTACCTTGTACTCGAGTTCGTTTAGGAGCACTTTCACTATTATCCTCCTTGTTTTCGCTACCATCAATCTGATCATCATTTTGACAAAAACCTCTTGGCAGTTCTTCCCTAGCCCTGCGTCTTTTGTTTTGGGGAAGGTCATCTGGCTCAAACCCTTTGCTCTCTTCCACTCCTCCATGTTTTCCTCCTCCATCGTCGTCTTCGTCCTCCTTTCTTCCCTTTCCCTTTCCTTCGTCTCCGTCACTCCCAAAATAATTACCCTCATTGCTATCGTTGTCGCAGAGATCCCAACCGATTGGCCCTGGTGGAAGCTGTGTGTGTGTGATGGTGGAAGCTGTGTGTGTGTGATGGCTGCGTGACGCGGCCTCCAGAAGCTCGATTTAACAGAAAATCTCAGAAATAAGATAAGTTTTCTGTTAAACCGATTTCGGCCGTGCCAAGCCAGTTCACCTCATTTAAACCCGTACTTTCTGTTGAACATCTTATGTTAACCGTAGCCGCTTGTACTGCTGTGTACCACTCAATTTACCCAGGATGTGGTAAAAACTCTTGTACCTTCCACTGCTGCATGCTGTGAGTTGACCCCGGGTGCTAGACTTGTTTTTGACCCCCAAGAATTAGTCCCCCTCTCGCCCCCCCCCCCCCCCCCCGGTGTTTGCCATCCGGGGTTGGGTTTTCGTCGCTTGGCAGCGATCTTGTAAAACAAACCGATCACTTCGTGAGCTCGGCACCCAGGTTGTTACCGCTTTTTTTTTGCCTTTGTTTTTTTTTCGCGGTAACCGTAAATGGTGGTCGAGTAGATTATGTTGTGCGGGGTCGAGAACAGTCACTCCGCACCAAAAGGGGATAATCGCACCACGTTGTGTTTTTTAAGTGTAATTTTGATGTTGACGGATTTTGAAAACAAACGCAAGAGGTCCAGAAATTGTACAACAGACACACAAGATCAGTCGGGAGGCATCGCGAAAAACAGAAATCGTTGATTCTCGCAAAGGGCGGCAGTAGAGGCTGCTCAAAACATACATTTCACGCCTCTACCTCCACAAGCCTCCTTTGCAATCAAGATAAAAATTCACACCATTCTAAATTCAAGTCAAAAGAGCCAGAACGGAAGGCGCTCAAATAAGGTCAGTTCTTGAGGGTTAGTTTAGGCATTCTATTGTCATCAGTAGAGGACATCATGAAGAGGCGTCGTGCGTGCTGGCACGTTCAGGTTTGCTACTGGGGCTGAAATATCGAAGGTCGCATCAGCTTTTGAAAACACTCCGAAATCTGCGCCGGAACCAAGCGGCATCCAACATTTGTCACCGCCATGCTCGCCGCCACGGACCGTAAACCCGTGAACGGAGGGTTGTCAGCAGTAGCTAGTGGCATCAGCTACTTTTATAAGCCCGTAGTTCAGGAAATTGGGGTCGGTGGCAGCGAGCATGGCTGTGACAAATGTTGGATGCCGCGTGGTTCCCGCGCAGATTTCGGACTGTTTTCAGAGGCTGATGCGACCTTCGACATTTCCGCTCCAGTAGCAAACCTGAACGTGCCAGCACGCACGACGCCTCTCCATGGTGTCCTCTACTGATGACAATAGAATGCCTAACCTAGCCTGGCGGGAATGTTGTTTTCTTTTAATGTATATGATTAAAGTATGGGAAAAGAGCCAGCGTCAAAACCCCTGTTCTCCCCCCCGTTCAATTGGTCAAGCACCCTCGAGGCAGTTACACCGTGCTTACAACTGTCTCTGGAAGTGAAAGCACCAGAAAATAAATTAAGTCATACGCAGCTGTCATACGCACGCAAGGAAGTAAGCACAAGATGCCGAACACCCTTCGCAGGATGCAGCTCACCCTTCATGCGACTCGCCGAATACCTCACCGTGCTTCGCGCTTGGTGATGTGAGAGCCTGGTCCGGTGAGAACCCGGCGTGCTCCGTCCCGGCTTTGTAGGGATGCGAGGTCAATGGTCTAGCGACTACGGTATGCACGACTATGAGTACACCCCCCCCCCTCTGGCAGGGCCACGGCGTTAGTTTTCACCGCGTTTGACGACCCCGGCCAGCATTACGCAGACTGTGGTAACGTCCCTGAGCTATTTGTCATATTTCACCAACCCGTTTGGTGTATTTAACCGTGGCCGGCGGTACGGACAAGGCCTATGGAGAGATACTACTGCATGTGTAAAAGAAAGGGTGCGGGATAAACTCCAGTCAAGCGGTCGAAAGCGAAGCCGTTCAGGGACAAATAACCTTCAGAACAGGTGCAAACGAAAAGGGGAACGAAGGGCACACGGCTATTCGTTTTCTCTGCCCCTCCCGTTTCGTGGTTGCTGTCTCCGGGTTCACCCGAAGTGCTTTTGAGCAACTCCGTTTACCGCGCGTAAGCGTAAGCTGCTCGCCTTGTGCTACGACGACCTGAGCCTCTTAACTCCCACCTGAGCCCCTGCGTACCACGGCACACGGTTCCTTGGTTAGTCTAAACTGCGCTGCGTCCAGAGATAAATCTGCAGATATTGAAAAAGAAACTACTGTAGACTGCTGTAGACTATACCGCTTATACAACGACCTGCAGAGAAACTATATCTGTTTTTGCAAGAGGAACGTTCCCCAAATTTGAGGCTAGTCGGAATTTCTTCGCAAAAGTCCACAGCAGGTAAGTAGTCCGTAGCAGCATGCGTGCAGTCGACAGATCGCACCGAGACATAAAAAGCGACAGCGAGACTCGCCAAACCTGCCGACCCTGGGCTCTAGAATGGATCGAAACCTGCTTGTGACGTTTTTTTTCTGCCTTGTTTTTCCCCTTGCCTTGCACTGCCTTCAGCAGAGCAGCGAGCGTGGCGCCCCCGAGGCTGCCATGAGCACCGATCCGCTGGATGCGGTTGGGCAGGGGCACGCTTGGTACGGCTATAACCTGGTGAGAGCGCGCGGGGGGTGGGGAGGGGGGGCGGGGCATGGCAGCACACCACTTTTGGGCAGGAAACTGTAAAAGCCTACCCAGCGGGTGGTATTTCATTCCCAGAGTTGGACTTGCAGATATGAAAGAAAGGCCTTGGTATTTGTAGCTCTTCTTGGTAGGCGAAGACATCCGCGCACAAACGTCAACTGTTTTCGGCGATCGACTTCGGTGGCGGACGGTTTCAGAAGACGTGGCTGGTGGATTGGGCACAGATCGAATCCTGCGTTCTGATGTGTTGCTTTTCCTCCGCCCCATTTTGTGCGTTGCACGCCGCACACCTCGCATTGCTGCTGTATGTACGATTCACTACGTCGTCACCAGTCTTTGGCAGATGAGAGTGAGTCACAGGGCGGCAAGGGTGAGAGCGGCAGCGGCAACAGCAGTCCGCGAAGAACAGGAGGGCTCATGGCAGATCTTTTTTTGGGGGGGTCAGTGTTTTTTCATTTTTTTTTCCCGTGGAAGGGGGGGGGGGGGGGGGGTTGTCAGTTCAGCGTGATATTTCCGTCCATCCTCCTTGCGCGTAGAAACATGGAGCGGCATGCAGCAGATGAAAAGGTTAGCATCATCAGTCGAGCGAGCATCTAGAGTCAACCCCGGTTTCAAGCGGTGCGGTTGGCCGTTCTGTGCAGGGCCAACATTCCTCTTTCGAAACGGACGCCCCTAATGGTTTGCTGTAACATCTAGCGGAGTGGATACAAGCGGGCATGTGTAGTGCTTGCTTTGCTCTTGGAAACGCGTCACCCCTCGCTGTCTTGCCTAGCAACGCCCCCCTGGCCCCTTGTGCCGTTCGGCGACAACTGTTTTTCCCATCCCCCACACGCAGGCTACCTGCCCACACACACCTCCTTTTCGAGGCTCCGAGTTCCAGCAACAAGAGGCATCACAAAGCGCCAGTCTCGCAGAAGGTGAAGAGCGAGCCGACCAGTTCGCTGCATATCAGCAGTAGCAGCAACAGCAACGCTAGAATCCGGCAACAGCAACAGCAACAGCAACAGCAACAGCAACAGCAACCGCTGAAGTGTGACCCGTGTCTGCAGCCGGGGGGAGGAGGGGAGGGGGGTCTGTCGTTTACGCCGCCGTATCCGCCAGCCTCCACGGCGGAAGGTGCAGCGGCGCTAGACCTACCCTGGCCCCTGCCTCCCCCATCGCTGTCGAGTACCCTGCGCCAACCGTCGTTGCCCCCCCTCACCGCACAGCAGCTGCAGTTGCTGCAGCAGCAACAGCAAGCGCTGCATCAGCAGCAGCGGCAAGTGCTGCACCAGCAGCAGCAGCAAGTGCTGCAACAGCAGCAGCAACAGCACCTGTTGCAGCAGCAGCAGGCGTTACAGCAGCATGCGCTACGACAACATCAGTCATTGCAGCAGCAGCACCAGCAAGTGTTGCAACAACCGCCCAGAACGGCAGCGGCGGCCTCGGCGGCGGCTGGATCGGCTAGACCGGCTGCAGCTGGGTCGGCCACGGGCATGCCCTTTCCATCGCATCAACTGGGTGCACTGATGGCGGCCAGCGGCGGTGACTGCGGCAACAGTGGAACCAACAACGGCTATCGCGATGTGGCAGCATTGGACGCAACCGGTCTTGGACTGTGGGGCTGGTGTTTTCCGAGCCCAACTCCCATTATGGGAGCAGGAGTAGAAGGGGGGGCGCCTGCTTCGGCAGGAGCGGGGGCGGGGGCGAGAGCGGGGGGGACGATTTTGGCCGGTGTGCCGGGCCTCGGCAGCGTTGGCAACTTCCAGGCTCTTGCGGCCACCCCCGCCGCCACCCCCGCCGCCGCTGGACCACAGCAGTACCCAAGACCAATGCCACGGGGACAGCAGTTTCTGGAGCCGGGAGATGTCAGGCCGCCGAATGCTGCTGGGGCGTGGGGGGGCGTCTCAGGGGTCAACAACGCTGGCGGCGGGGTTAGCAGCAGCGAAGGAGACGTTGCCGGGCTGGGAGTGGACGAGCTTGGCGCTGCGGCAGCCGCCGCACACTCGGGGGGTACGGAGCAGCAAGAAGGCTCCGTGGGGTCGGGAGGGGACCGGGGAGGAAACTCGACGTCGTCTTCGTCGTCTAACCCGTCGGAGCTCAAGAGGCAGGAGCGGAACGCGCGGGAGCAGCGAAGGTACTTTCTTGTTCAAATATTTCCTCCGCATGCGCCTTTTCCCATGTTTTGGCCGGTCGGCGCTACCGGTGTGTGCATAACTAACTGGTCATGAGACGAAGAGCAAAAGGTCGGGCCATCAGGCAGTCAGGAAACTTGACGAGGACGTCATTGCTGTTCTAGGCAACTCAGCGAGAGCTGTCAGTCATGAGTGGCGTACTCTCTGTTGATTTTTTTTTTTTCTCGTGAATCGGATGGTGCCGATGGCATTTTTCGGCCTCGCTTCTCGTTCTTGTGGGTTGACCTGACCACACTATGCAGCAGTGAGGAGAGAGGGAGAGGAACGGACGAGTTTCTGGTTGGTCGCAGACGGCAGCCCCGAGGCGAAAAAACGTTTCGTAAGTATTTCAAGATAATTATGTTATCGGCGGGGATGCCGGTCGATACGGCCAGTTGAATCAAACGCAAGGATGGCAAGGCACAGGGGGGGGAAGCCAGGGCGGGGCGCTTTGTGAAAGCATTATTTGTGGTATTGTGGCCTACAACCTGCTCCAGCTCCTGGCTGATGCTCATGCTGGCTCACGGGTAGCTGTCCGTGTGATTAATCTCTCTAACCCTGTCTCTGTCTCGTTCTCTCCCTTCCCCTCCCTCCCTCCCTCTCTCTCTCTCTCCCCTCCCTCCCTCTCTCTCTCTCTTCCCCTCCCTCCCTCCCTCTCTCTCTCTCTCCCCTCCCTCCCTCCCTCTCTCTCTCTCTTCCCCTCCCTCCCTCCCTCCCTCCCTCCCTCCCTCTCTCTCTTCCTGTCTCCGTCTGATTCTGCCGCCCCTCTCTCCCACCGACGCAACGATAAGATCACTCATGACGTCTCGTCAAATCGACAAGCTCCGCAAGCTCCTGCAGGAGTGCGGCATCCAGACCAAGGCCAACAAGAGCAGCGTCCTCTCCGAGGTGGCGAGCTACACCGCTCAGCTCCAGCAGCAGATCGAACAGCTAGAAGAAGAGCGCGCGCGGTACGTGCGCCGTGCCTAGCTATTATTACATATAACCCGTTCGTTGATTTCGGGCGTGTTTTCCCTTCCCGTTGTTTGTCTGGGCGAATGCCCTCTTTTCTAAACCCCCAATCTGAAAACAAGGGGGCGCCAGGGAGGCGAGATACACGTAAATGTTGAAAACGCGGCCGCGATTTCACCCTCAGCCCCCGGCTCCAGAAGGATCTTGCAGTATTCTCAAGACACTATCTGTCAGGGTACATGTTTTTTTTTTTCCTTTTCTTTGTGATGTTATGCAGTATCGACCGCGCGTAAGGCGAAGCCGTAGAGTGCCCGCTCAATCTTCTCAGCGGCTCAGCGGGGCTACCGGCAAGTGGTGCGAAAAGCAGCCCAGCCTACGGAGTCAAGAGATAGTGCGTCAAGAACCACCAAGCATTCCGCGTGCGATGTCACCACCGATGTTTTGCTTTTAAAAAAGAGCAAGGCTATTGTAACGGCGGCGGCGCATGGTATGACTGAAAGTGTCTCCAGGGAGGAGCTCTGTTTTCGCGAAGTCGCAGTCTTGCGTTTCTGCAAACCTCGCATGGAATTATTGCCTTCGAGTGTTTTCAGGAAGCACACAGGGAGGTTCGCGACGTACCATGTGGCGATTCACTGCTCCGAGAGTTGTCCATTTTTTTTCTGCAGGTGCAAGAAGGAGCTTCTTTCGCTCCGTACTTGTTTTGTTGTTCTTGTCGAGGAAAAGGGTGCCGTGGGTACATGAACCTACACATGTGTCCACTCTTCCCACCACTGTTCGCATCCTTCATGTCAACGACATTCCGGAAGGGGTTGCTGGCCCGGTTGTTTCGAAGGAGCAGTAGGGCTGCCGCTGCTGCAGCCTTCAGGGTACCAGTCTGTTCTGCGACGCTTGTGCCGTCGTTGCATGCTTGGGCCCTCTCCTGCCCCTTCTGCTTCCACCAACCCGCCGTACCCCTCCGCCCGTGTGCCGCCCGCGGTGTAGATGGATGGCCGAAACCTCGGACGTTCCGGAAGTCGGCCGGCAAGATCCAAATGGCGGGACGATTGACTGCAAGCAGGTTGGCGCGGAGGGAGGGGTCCAAATTCCAATGGCAGCGGTAGCGGTAGTGCGTCTTTGCAAGAGGCGGTGCAGATGGTTCTTTGTACGGCGGGGGGCGATGGACGGGGAGGGTCCGGAGTTGGTGCTGTACGGCGTGAATCGAGAGTAGTGGCCTGTGCATCCGCGATGTGCTGCTGTCATGCCTCGATCTTGGTTTCCCGGTTGACGACGTCGCTCTTTCCCCTGCAGTTTGCCATCGGTCAGGAGAAGGAAGAAAGAAGGTGGTGTTTTTTTTTTTCGCTTGGTCTTGCTGCGAACCGCGCTTGCCTGCCACGCGCCGACGTAGCTAGCTAGTTCACCTCGTTGCGGTCGGTGTTGTCTCCCTTGCTTGGGGGCGGATGGGCAGGTTTTCGCACACGCTAGCGTGGCGTTGGCGATGGCCACCGTGGAAGGACGCCTGATCGAGAGCAATCTGCAGTTCGAGGCGCTGAGCGGCCATCGCAACGAGGAGCTCAAGCAGCTGACCCTTCTGAGCCTCACCGCTCCGTCAGAACTTCAGGAGACTTTCCAGTGAGAGCGCTTTGAAAGATGCAACAACACCGTCATCACGCAACCGTATCCCTGCCCCCCACCCCCACCCCCCACCCCCGTCCGAGCGCCGCG